AAATCATAATTCACTTAAATGTTCTGAAAAGATAGAGTCATTTCCCTCTTGGCATGGAATACAGCAGCAAGCAATCAGGAAAGTCTGCAGCCTTAAAGGAATACATTTTATCAGATGTTTGCTAGAGGGATGTTTTATGCAGAGACACGGTAGCTTGCTTCTAGTGATGTCAGTTTCTCAGCCACAGGAGCTCTCCCAGCACAGGAGCACTTTCCCAAGGTTCTTGGCCTGGTTAAAGCCCAACTAGTACAGGTGCGATGCTGTAGAAGACGAAGTTCCTACTTTCCCTTTCAGCTTTGTTGGGTGAAGTCCAGAAATGGAGAGAAGGGAGCAGGATGGAGAGCAGCACGGGGCAGGAGCACCTACAGCAGGGTGGATTTTTGTCATGTACTGACACTAATGGATGCATCTGACCACAGATCCACAACTAGTTAGGTCTTTCTTCACATGTCATGATCTAACATAGTTTCAATATGGGTGTAAACTCCTCCAGAGAGCCGAGAAGCCGGGCCAGGGGCAATTTTGATTTATTGTTGTTAAATGTATATTTATAGGTAGCTGTGATAGCAACATTTATGCAACAGATCGAAATTTTTTGTTGGTTCACATCTAAAGGAAGCTCCTGCATGTTTGAAAAAGGAGTAAGAAGTAATTGTATCCAAAATCTTTGTATCAAAGTATCAAACTCACTAAAAATCACACAAAAACATTCACAAAAGCACTCCATATCATGCTGCCATTGTTGAATCCTATTTTTTTGCATGTCATGGTGTGTGATGGCATGAGGTGTGGATGTCTAAGATGTTGCTGATCTACCTGGGTTGCCTGTGCTCTGCCGCATGGCTGCAGATGTCCTTTCTTCTATCCTATGTCATGTTAACATGAGCCACTGCAATGGGGAAAGTCTTAATCCAGATGAAAGTGGGTAGACATACTGCACTGATAGCCATGTTATTTGGGAATAATAAAATCCTTAGAAGTCTGTTACTGAAATTCAAAGAAATTATTGGAAATTTTGCCCTAGAATAAGTTTGACATCAGTAGGTAAATGTCCTCACCAAATAACTGCTCTGCATCTTTCCAGGACATCTGACCAAGAGTGAGTTAACCTATTTAGTTGACCAATCTTTGTAATATGTGTTGGCAACAGTTGATCATTTCAAGTGCTCCTTGGGGAAAACAATCCCTCATATCTTTGTGTTGCAAAGATTGGACTGAAGAAAGGTGAAGTGATCAGGCTGCTGTGGTGCAAGATCAAGGCAGAGATCAGTCTGCAAAATGTACCTCACTCTCAGGAGGACCCCTTCTTTCCCCTTTGACTATGGCCAGAATTTGGGAGCAGGGTCAGACACATCAGGTGCTGAGAGCTGAGTTCTGCTCTGTACTGGTCAGGAGAGGGCTGGTGGCTCTTAAACTGCCTATACTAAGTCTATGGCCCAGCCTCTGGTAAGGTGCCATTAAGGTGCCTCTGGTAAGGCTGCCATACAGCAGGCTGGTATTCTTCATTTTTAATGTATGTCACTGACATCATATGCAGGAATTTCATTAATTGGTAATTAATAACTTACCTTCAGGTATGACCTGCTCTTAGCTGTGAAGAAAGGATAGTTGCAAGGAGGCACATAAAAATACCCAGTATTTATCGACGTGACTGGTAGGAAGGGCTAAAACCCAGAGGAAGTTATAGTACTGTGATTTAGTTCAGAACTTTTAAACTTTCAATCAGAAATGGACTATGAAAGGCAAAACCCAAATATACAAGTTACAAAGTAGATACCAAACTCGTTAAATGTAAAATTCTTGCTATTAGTAATTTTATTTTCACATGGTCACTCCAAACTTGATAAATTATCTTTTAATCTAGTGTGTAGTAAAATCAGGCTGAATAGTTACAATATCATTTCATCTGCATTTGTGTGACATCCAGTGGCTGGATGGGTCAATCACAGGCACCTATTTCTTACCAAAGGTGTAAAAACCGTTCAGAACATTAAAGAAATAAAAGTATTGACTATTAATGCTAACAGAGCAATTGCTTAATTTTAGTTTAAAATAAACAAATAATTAAAGAAGCTCAAGGGAGTGCCTTTTGGACTTGTACACATGCAACACAGTGCAGCCTTAGAATTCCCTGAGCCTGCCTCTGGGGTGAGCTCTCCTCCTCAACGCTCCTGCTGCAACAACTCATCACCCCTGTCAGAAATGAGTAATTTATGTTTTCCTGTACTGAATTCTTGACTGCACCATTGCTGTCAAGACTTGTATTAATTTTGTCTGGCACAGTACTGGGACAATTTTGGTCGAAACTTTTGAAATACCAAAAATAATCCAGTATAACAAGAATTACGTTTCCAAAAAGCTGCTTAAATTAAAAGGTCTAGAGCACCAGCCTCATGTCTGAAATACCTGGCTGACATTAAGATGCTTGGTGGCACTTGTACAAAGTATGACAATGATGTGAGCCTAGTATTGCTCTGAACACTGAAGGTTACCAAGCAGGTAATGAGTAGTAACAGTTTTATTTGTTGCATAAGGGCACACACAAATTATTGTTGTCCCAGAACATTTTTAGTATGTTCTTATATTAAAAACCACACCTGCTAATGCACAGAATGAAAAAGGTGAGAATGTGAGAGTTTCTCTGCTTTTCCGGTCTGCTTTTCAAGGTCCATAAACCTGCTCTCTTTTTAAGAACACTTTTTTTTTTTTTTTTTTTTTTTTTTAATATATCTCATAATACTTAACAAAGAAACTGAGCATTGACACCTAGTGTCTGAAATAACTTGAACATAATTTCAGGCTCAATGTTTATTACTGGTGAACCATTACAAGGATGTAGATATATTATTTTTGCCAACAAATTTCCATAAGGATAAATCAGACACACAGAGAAAAATGACTGTACTGGCCTGAGTACTGCACACAAGGCAAATGTTACCAGCAGAGACAGGAAAACAGCAGCTGTGCACCATTCTTGGACACAAAGTCCTCAGGAGTCACGAGGTTAGTGCAGGATCTGTTTTTTCATGCCTGGTTCTGCTGACTGCAGAGTCGCTTAGTCAACGATAATGATCAGAATAAAAGTCCTCTCCTGAAGTTAGAGCAGTTTTTATGCCAACCTATGGCTAGGAAGAGCAGGCCAAATATGTCTGAAATGTATCTAGAAGAAAACAAAGATCAGATATATGAAAATGCCCTTGCTGAGATCGAGTCCTTTGAGCTGCCTCTTGGAACCACCCTAAGGTATGCATCATTTAGATACAGCTATATTATTCACGGTTGATTTGGTCCACTCTTCAGCTGTTTGATTTCAGTCAGCCCAGTGTATCACAAACTTTGTTAACCTGACACTGAAATCTACTGGGTAGTGGGATTTAATTTCAGTGAGATTGGGCCTGGTTGGAAAAATACAAACCAAGGACATCTCTGCAACTCTTTACTGGGAGAAAGCTGTCTTTGACTGTAGGCTGGCTTCATGTTCTCCAGAAATAAATATATTGCACTTAAGCATGAAAACAAGGGAAGAATCACTCTTTTGTGTAGCAGGGCTTTAGCTTAACAGCTATATTTTTATTTAATTAATTGCTGCTTATTCTTAAATTTGTAATAAATGTGGCTTTATTTTTAATCACTAAAAACACTGCTTAAAATTTTACTGTTGATATCCCTAAATATCTGAAAGTGTAAATAATTTTTTCATGTGCAGTTTATGGAAACACTTCAGTGGTGAGGGTATAACCGAAAAAATTCTTCTGCATATCCACACTTACAAAAAAAAAAAGTAATACGTAAAAGATCATGATGTTATGTGCCTAAGTATATCGTCAGTAGCTGTAGAAGAGCTTTAAAAATAGCCTGCCTGCGGCTGTGGGCATCAGGTTGCAGTGACTATCAGGCTAAAGAAAGAGAATTTCATTTACCCTGAAAAATGTATGTGTCAATCTATTACTTGAGTTGTTTGTTGACAGGGGAGTGTGGGGCTGAGGGAGAAAAGAAGGAATGTGGGAAGATTGTTACTGCATTTTTTTTTTTTTAAAGGAAATACTGTATTTCTTGAAGGAAATACTACTGCAGTGATATCCTGTAGGATTTTCCCCTATTTTCTTTCTGCAGCACACACTTTGTGTTGTCTATGTCTAGAATACTCCTTGTTTCAGTAGGTGTCATCAACACATTCAGTTAAGTCAGTGCTGTGTATGATAAAACCACAAGCACAAACAAGATGCCATTTATTAGGCAGCGTTTGGGTGTAGTCGCATTGGGGCAGGAGGATGAGTTTGACTACAGTGCTTGGAAGCATGGCTAGCACTGCTGTAGCTGGCTGGTGTCTGGGCTTAGCTGCTCTCAGCTTGCACGCAGCTGTCTGCTTCTCACTCCAAAGCAGCCATGCGTCATGCAGGAGCTTTATATGTAAGGCCCATCGCTTTAAGCTGGCTTCCCACCCGTGCACAGACAAGAACACAGGTGTATCCTGTCTCCTGAGCACGTAGACACAAGGAGTAGCTCATCTTTGGCCACAGACCGCAATATGTGCGATTTAAATAGAAGAGGAGCTATTCCTACTTGACTGAAAAAGGAGGTTTTGTGGCACTGGTGCCCAAGGACACTAGCACACAAGCAGCAGCAATGCAGAACCACGATGCCCGTTTGCGTTGCACCAGATCAGCTCCTGAAAGGCAGCAAGGCAGTGCTTTCGGCATCGGGAAGCTCAAACAAACAACTAAACAAACAAACAAAGAGCCAACGCGGCGAGTAAACAAACAAACCGAGGCCCAACAAGCAGAGCCGAACTCCCCCTTACAGCAAGGCCGCTCTTGAGCCCGTCGCTCGCGTCCGCCGCGAGGTGCTCGGGGCGGAGGTCTGAGCCGTGCGGCGCCGCCGGAGCAGCGCGGGGCTCAGCAGCGGGACCTCGGCCCGCCGCGGGGCGCGGGCGGCACGGCTCCGCCGCCGGTACCCCGGTACCCCGGTATCCCCCGCCCGGCTCCGCGGCCGCCCCCGCCCTCGGTCCCTCCCCGGCGCCTCCCGCAGCGGCGCGGCTGCCGGGTCCCTCCCATCCAAGATGGCGGAGAGCCTCCCGGAGCATGATCGGATCCTGCAGGAGATCGAGAGCACCGACACGGCCTGCGTCGGGCCCACCCTGAGGTGAGGGGCGGCGGGGGCTGAGGCGCCGCCGCCGGCCGAGGTTTCTCCCTTCTCTCTCCGCGGAGCCCGGGCCCGGCGCGGCCCGGCTGACAGCTCCTCCCCGGAGACGGCGCGGGGCCGCCCGTGGCGCCTCCGCCGTAAGCGGCAGCGGCAGCTTCGGGCCCGGGGGACGCGCGGCTCCCGCGGGGCTCCACCGAGGCCCGGCCGCCGCCTCCCGGCGGGACGTCCGACAAAAAACGGCCCCGTGTGGCTGCGGCTCCGGCCGGGCAGCGTTGACAGCAGGGCAGAGCGGCGGTGCGGCGGTGCCCCCGCCCCCGGTCATTGTGTGCGGGGGAGCGGCGCGCTGTGCGGCTTCCGGCGGGGCCGGCGCTGGGGCTGGGGCCGCCGGCCGGGACGTGGTGCCGGGACCTGCTAGGTGTGGGCTGCGCGGCGGGCTGGGTCCCGGCACTCGCCGGGAACATCCTTCGTGGGGGTCTGCGCTGGGAGCCGGAGCGAAAACTGGTTCCGGGGGGGGTTTGTGTAAGGCCGGTCGATGCACAGTTGATAGACTGATAATTCAGTGCGAGTGGAAACAGTCGTCTGAAATTCACCACTGTGTTCATATTCCCCGTCCTGGGCGTCAAGCATTCGTGCTGTGCCCTCAGTGGCTGTTCCTTTTTTAATCTCATGTACTAGCAAATGGTGTAATTCAAACGTCAAATAAAGGATTTTGCTTGATCTGTGCTGCCTGGGAGAGGCGCAGCGGTGCCCTCAGCCCGGGCTGCTCAGAGAAGGGAGGACCTGGGAGTATGGTGTCCATGTAAGGGAGAGGGCTTACATTCAACTCCACTGCCAGTGGGTGAGAGACGTCTGAAGTAAGGAGGCATGGGCGGCAGCCCATTGGTGGTTATCTCTTCGGGAAGATATGGAGATCTGATGTGCGGGAAGCTGGAAGAAGCGGATTGTAGGGCTGAGAGCGCACCACGAGGTTCCTTGATGCCATGTGCTGGGGTGCAGGAAAGGGCAAATGAATTGGGATGCTGAGGAGCTATACACCGGGAGCTTAAGGAAAAGAAATGCATGCTGGACACAAAATGGGTCATTTTGTACTTCACAGTGAATGATGCTACAGTTGACTTATATGGCTGCTGCCCTCCAGCGCTGAGCGGTGTGTGGGTGTTTGAGGTATGGGAACTTGAGCAGGGCCAGGGCTCGTCAGTCCTGGCAGAGCCTGAACAGGAGCGTGGTGGTGGTAGAGCGGCCCAGGCACCACCTTGGTCTTAGCCAGCTCAGAACAAGCTGTGCGAGGCTGCTTCTGTCTCCCCTTTACTGCTCCTGCAACTCAGCCAGTACCAGACATGCATGCAGAGGTGCTGAAGCTGAGCGTGATGGGGAGTTTCACCTGAGAGTTTGAGTTCTGGCTGAGAGAAGGCAGCTAAGGTGTTTTCAGGCTTGAGTTGGCCCTGGAGGCAGTTCAGCCATGTTTGAGCTGACAAGCCCAGGCACAATGGAGCTGACGTCTGCAAAAAGTACAGCGAACCCAAAAAACATAGCAGCAAAATATTAAATATAATTGCAGCTTTGCTACAATCTCCAAAATAGAGCTTTTATGAGAGCAACTTATGTGAAGGACATAGAGAAAACAGGGTTGAGCAGAGGAAGAAGATGTGTTTGGGAAACACAAATGTGGATGGTGGAAAGACATAAAATATGGAAGGGACAATGTAAATCTCTTATCTGTGTTATACATCTAAAATATCAAAGTTTTAATAAATATATTTAGAGTTGTGACTTTTGTACATGATTCTTGTCCTTTTTGTTTAAATGAGTGTATAGGGATTTCTTGTTCTTGTTATCTCACTGACTTGCCAGAGAGGGAGTTTTGCATTGGTGACTCAGAATTGGTAGAAAAGCAGTGTGGGTTTGTGTGATGTAGCACTTTGTGCTTATGTACAAACCAGTAACTTGGACTGAAGAACATTTATATCTGGCTGAGCGCTTTGAAAGAAGCCTGGCTGACACCATAGAAGTATTTGGCTGTTTTACAGAATCAGAAATGTTTAAAACCAAGACTGAGAGGTCTGTTCAGCAGTCTGTTAAAATTGTTAAGTGAGAGACTGAAAAGCCTAAAACCCCACTTCTGATTTCAAGATCTATTTTGATAAAGAAAAGCTTGAACATAAAAGGGAGCATTATTATCTGCACAAGATACAGCTTTTAATTGCTAAGCAATATAAATGAAAGAAATAAGTTGGATAATTCTACATGCAGTGCCTGAGCCACACCACATCAAGTGGTCCATTGATTCTCAGTTGAGGAATCCACTGATACTGTTGTTTCATATGATGACTGAAATTACATTCACTTCATTATATAACATGGAATATTTTACTAATCTGCAGTGCTTAGAGAACATTTGCAGCACTATGACATGAGGTGCAGCAAAAATATTGCTATTTAAACAGCAGAACAAAGGAAGGGGCTTAAGGCAAGTGCTTTGGATGGGAAGCATGAGGTAATGCTTAATGCCAGAGATCATAGGATATGCAGGATCTGACTTATCCCCAATTGTTCCTGTCAAGATCTTAATATTTTCCTAATGCTTTACAAGCAAGTAGGTTTTTTTTTTTTGGAGGGGGAAGGGGGGGAGCAGATGCGGGGGGATAATATGTGGGCTCTATGTAGCTTTTATTTTCCCTCAGCATTTTGTTGCCAGCTCAGTGTAGCTCTCTCTGCTGGCACAAGGCTGTCCGTTCCAGTGGAGGAGGGGTCATGCCGATGTGTAGGGTATTGATATGTAATGGTTTTGTGATAATTGCCAGGTAAAGAACAGTGCATGGATTGGTCCTATGTGGGATTTATAGTACTAAGATGCACCCCTGTGGGGAAGCCAGGTCCTTTACAGGAGGAATGAAGGTACAGCGGCGTTGCTTATTGTTTAGGACAGAAAGGTCCTGAAGATTGCTGTGCACCTTTATAGAGACTGTGTTTGATTATACAGATAATTATTAACATTATAAGTGTTAACTGGATGATTTTGAAAACATAAAACTGCTGGTATTTGACTTGCATGTCTAAACTTAGTGATGTGCACCAAGTCACTACAAATGAAACTTAAATGAACTGCATAACACGCCTTGCATTAAGTACATACACTGTGCATAGAGCAGGCCAGGATTTATTTGGTTTTTCATTTTTTTTTTTTTCCTGCAGGCTCTGTGAGACTGCTTTATCAACATCTGTCTAGCTTTAATGGCCAACTAAAAGTGATTAATGACAACATCTGTTAGAGGCTCCTCACACACACCTTTTTATATAATGTGTTAATACCTTGTAATTCATGTCATATACAAGCTGTTTGCAAAACCAGGAAGAGGTGTCAGAAAGAAAAGATAAAAGACAATGAAGGAGATAACTCCCTTATTCCCATTAAAAAAAAAAAAAAAAAAAAAAAAAAAAAGGAAAAAAAAAACCCTTTCAGGCTGTCATTGAACTTTATATAAATATATACTAACAGCATTTCAATGGTCAACTTTTTAAAGTGTCTTAATAATTCTTGAATATTCTGTTGGATATACCAGGGTAATTAATAAGATAAATTCTGTTCAGAGTCTGATTGACCTTATCTTCTGGTTAGTGATACGTTGATCAACAAAGGTCGAGCAGCTCAGCAGAGCAGGAGATGCTGTTCTAGCTGTATCCTGATGAAGAAGATTTAAGAGTCTTTTTTGGCTTGTTTACCACATGTTATATTTCAAAGGTCTTTTCTAAAAAATAAATGAACGAACTCTAAATTCTAGCTTGACAACATCTAGCATAAGCATGTGGGACTACTTTTCTGAACACTTTGTCTCATGACTTTCGTGTTGCTGAGTTTGCAATGCTCTGTGATCATGTGGGGGAGAGATTCCTATATCTGCTGAGGGGTCTGTCCAAAGCCGAGTAATTGAATGCCTGAAATGCTTTCTGCAGTGCGACAGGATGCTCTGAAGCCTTAGTGTAACCTGATTTATTGAGAGTGTGTGCTGTCAGTGGTAGGCAAGCTTTGGCTATGTGGTTCTGTCTCTAACAGCACAGTTGGTAAGCAGCAGTACAGGCAGGGTGAGTGATTTCTCTGGCTATGGGAAGGAGAGCAGCATTACTCACTCTCAGACTGGGAAATGCATTTTCTGAGCGCTTGCCTTTGGGCTGCTGGGATTTGTGGTGTGGTTATCCAATGGCAAAATGTGGTTGCCCTCATTTTTGCCCCACGGTTGTGTTTGTCAGGTATTTTTATCTAAAGGCATTTTTCTGTGTTCTCATATTTTGGCTTTGGGTTATGAGGCAGCAATTCTCTTCTTGTCTGTAACTCAGTCTTGTCCTTAATGGAAAGCAAATGCAAAAGGTCATCAGCCAGTGTTTTGAATCAGAACTGAATTGCTTTAATAATGTGTCTTTATTTCAAAAAATAGGATATTTCACAGTGTTATAAGCTATTTTTCTGGTTCAAAATTTGGTCTGTATCTTCAGGAATGCTCTAACTGTGTAGTTCCTGAGTTACTGTGTTTCATTCCTCTTCAAACTGAAGTTACAAAGTAGCCCAGAGGAACTCCAAATCCCTTCTGTGTAGGGTCTGATGGTTTCTGGATCAGATTCTAGAGCATGCTTTGACATACATGTAGGTATCAGTTTATCTTTGTTACAGTAGCTACCTTGTACTTTGCAGCTGGGTCTGTAAAGTGAAGAGAACTGCCTCCTTACTGAGTTGGAGGTGTCCCGATAAGCCAGCGGCTTGCTTGTGTTGTGTTTGCTGCAGGCTTTGCACCTGGAGCAGGATTTGATAATATTCAGAGCGTTCAAGTGGAAAGGGAAGAGTTGAATAAAGCAAATATCTGAACAAGTCTGTCACAATTATTTTTTGGAAACAATATATATTTTTTGTCACTAGCCCATTATATAGCATGAGAACAGTATAATAATATTGTATGCTATGGGCTAATTATTTCTCATTTATATATTCAGTGGTAGAACTGCAGTTTTTT